TCGGTTCCGACTCAATGGCACCTGACAACAACAACAACAACACACTACCAGAGCTCCTTGGAGCAGCTTGGAGAAATTAAAAACAAATCAGGGACGTGGCAGTTCTGGTGGGAGTCCCAGAGTGTGACCTGCATAAAGTGGACAGGGTCCTAGAGCTAGCTGCATCATCTCTGTGGGTCTCAATTTTCTCAACTGTCAATGGATCAAAGCATCTTCAGTGAGGGGGTGGGTACGGTGGGGGTAGAGTGGAGGATGAAGGGGTGCCACGTGTGGGAGCTCAGGCAGCCACTGTGGCCGTGACATTGAGGTCCTGGCATATGAACCAGGCCCTTGAGTGTGGCAGCGGGCACAGCAGATGGAAGTGCGGTGGACGGAAGCACCTTAGCACCGTCGCGGAAGACCGCCAGGGCCGCCTTAGGATCAGGGGCTGACCTGGCCCTAGTTGAACAGGAAAAGGTAAAATCATTCACTGCTCTCTCCTCCCCAAAGACAACCTAAGATGGTAATCAGTTTACTGAGTGGGAAAGCTAGAATGCTAATCAGGGTACTGAATGGAACCAAGTCCTCTGGTTTCCCCCCTGCCCTCAAACAGGTCTGCAGCCCGGCCCCTCCGCGACTCTGACCCTATATAGGCCCATGTTATCCTCCATTCGGTGCTCAGAATCTGGAGAAATTTGCTTCTCTGAGCCAGCCGGCTTAATAAAATCTGAAACTCTGCTTCCCCTCTCCGAGTGGCCTCGGTTTCTTTGACAACGGATCAACAGCTACAGTGACACTCTTGAATCTTAAACTATTGTAACACCCCTGGAGCCAGATGAGGTCTTCGACTGGGGCTGGAGGACCCTCACCCCCAGCCTCCAGCTCATCCTCACCTGACTCCCTCGGTGACCGAAGTGTGATCCTGGAGGCCCAAGACACACAGGGTGATGGCCACCTTCACATCCTGTGCATCCAGTTCCCGCCGCAGGGAACCATAGAAGCCTTCCAGTAGAAACTTGGCCACAGAGTAGGGGGCACGCGGACTAGGAGTGCAGGAGGGGCGGGGCTGGCTTGCTGCCCCCTAAGATGTTGTTGTTGTTGTCGTCAGGTGCCATCGAGTCGGAACCGACTCATAGCGACCGCATGCACAGCAGAACGAAACAATGTCCGATCCTGGGCCAACCTCACTACCGCTGCCACACTTGAGTCCATCAATGATGCCACCTGGCCAATCCATCTCGTTAGGGGTCTTCCTCTTTTTCTCTGACCCTCCACCTTACCCAGCATGACATCCTTCTCCAGTGACTGTTTCCTCCGGACAATATATCCAAAGTAGGAGAGACGAAGCTTAGCCATCCTGGCTTCCAAGGAGCACTCTGGCTGCACTTCTTCCAAAACAGATCTATTGGTTCTTTTGGCAGTCCATGGCACCCTCAGTATTCTCCTCCAACACCACAACTCAAAGGCATCAATTCTTCTACGATCTTCCTTATTCACTAGGATGAGCCCCTGGAAATCTTCCTGCCAGCCCCCTAGGATGAGCGATCACACTCCCTACCACTCCCCCAGGTGTACACACCTAGAGCTGGGGCTAGGTGCACACACCGAGTAGCGAGGACACCACCACCATGGTTCCCTTGCTGTCCGTCAGGCTGGGCAGCGCCAAGGAAGTCAGCTGGAGTAGCTGAGCAAATTCATCTGAAGGCGAAGCACCTGATTGACCAGGCTGGGGAGGAGCCATGGTAGAGAGGGGCGGGGTCTATGACAGTGACGGGGCCCGGGTAGAATGGGCGGGCTCTAGAACACTGGAGGGCAGGGCCCTAAGCAGGAAGGGACCTAGGGCAGGAGGGAGGGGAAGACGGGGAAGGGCGTGGCCCGGAGAGGGGGGAGCCAGGGGAGAGGGGGGAGCCAGGGAAGCGGGCGGAGCACCTACAGGAGCCAGCGAGTCTCTTGGACGCTGAGGGCCCGCGTGCCGGCAGGGATGGCGCCGATATGGTTCAGCACGAGGTAGTCCAGCCCGCCTGGCCGGGAGAGGGTGGTCAGCTCGAGCTAGCCCTCGAGATCCACCCCTGGATCCAATGAGCTCCGCCCCAGTAACGCCCCCTGTGTTTAGGGAGGTCTCGCTTCAGACCCTACTCCCAGGATCCTGCAAGGCTTTGTCTTTGGTACCAGGAGGCCCAGTCCGGCGTGCAGTCCTCTGGACACGCCCCAGCCCGCCCTTAACTGCAGCACTTCCAACCCCAGTTCAAATCCTGCCCCGCCCCTAACCCAGCATCTCTAGTGCAAACCACACGCTCAGGCACCTCAGGGGAGGCCATGTTTGCAGGGATGTAGGAGACTTGGAAGGGGGGGCGCCCAGCTTCCGGCAGTTCCCTACCACCTGGGGGGGGGGCGCCAGAGCTGCCCGTGGGCCCCTCCACCTCAGCTGGCCCCCCTCCACCTACCGGCCTTGTTGGGTCCCTAGGGTGCAGCCCCCTCTTCTACTCCGAGCCTCAGGTTCCACTCAACATGGTCTCCAAAACTTTAGCACTGGGGTCATAAACTAACCCACGAAGGAGGTACTTTTATTGTGAAAGAGAGGAAACAGACTAGGAGAGGTTAAATCACTTGCTCAAGGTCACACAGAAGCCTGGATGGGAGTAGGCATTCCAGCCCAGGTTCCCTTTTGCACCCCTGCCCCAACAGTGAACAACAGGGCAGCCTGCTCACCTTCTGCACGAGGGCTTCAGAGTGGCCAGTGAGCACCAGGTGGGCGCCCTGATGGGCGTACTGGTGAGCTAGCTCCTCGCCAATGTTGGCACTGGCCTTTGTCAGCAGTACATGGGCTCCCTGTACATGGGCTGGTAGTGGACAGAACTGGTCAAGACAGCATGTCCAATCCTCATCCCCCCACTAGCTCCCAACCTCCACCCAAGTCACTCAGCTGGGTCAAAGTTGTCATCCCAATAATAGGTGAAGAACAGAACCTGGAGCCCTGTGAGCAATAGAACCTTTATGATCCTGCCTGGGCACTGCAGTGGGATAGAGGGTGACCCACAGCCACGCCCATTCCCACACTGCACCGTTGTTTCAGTGACCATTTGGTGATGGCCCTGGACATGTCCCCTCCACATCTTCATAGCCACCACCAGGTCCTGGCCATCATTGCAACTTATCTAAACTGCTGCACCCACCTTCTCACTGCTTAGAACCTTCTCCATTCAACCCAACAGCCAAATCACCTTTGTCTCTACTCTGCTGAAAATCTCCCCTTTCCTGGAGTCAGTCTAGCTGCTCCTAGGAAGAAAGAGGAGGCTGTCTGCACCTGTAAAGATTTACAGTTTCAGTAACCCTATAGAGGGTCATTATGAGTTAGAATCAACTTGATAGTGGCTTCCTTTAGCATAAAACCCTACCTACCCTTACTGGCCAAAGAGGTTCTGCATGGACCAACTTCTCCTGGCCTTCTTGCTTTTTCAGACCAGGCACACCAGCTAGACATGTGTAGTTTGCTCCCTAATCTCCTTTAATTATTTTCAATGGGGCTTCCTTTCCTAAAGCAGTCTCTTCCTCGGCCCTGTCTTTGCTTTAAGCTCCACATTGACATATGTCATTAACTTTTAGATAATTTGGCACAAATTCACTGTCCTGAGTAATATGGCTGTACTCATCCTGCTCCAAACTTTCCCAGGGTTCTTCACTGCCCTCGGACCAGGCACAGCCCACCCAGCCCAGCGGGTCTGGCGTTTGCTCACCCGTCCAAACTCTTGACTACTATTCTTATCTCTGAATCGAATCGTAAAAATGAACTCAGCCTTTTCCAATGCACCAGGTACCTCAGCAGGGGACGCATTTTCACCTCTCCGGCCATGGGGACAACGTGCCAGGGGTTGCCGGGGCAACGGTCTCCCGCACAGTTCTCCTCCTCCCGCCTGCGGTCCCGGAACCGCCCACTGACGGCTATCACAGGCCGAGACGAATCACGTGACCCCGGGCCCGCCTCCTTCGAACCATTCCGCCTTCGCGTTACCCAGACAACTTCTTTCTAGGCGCTCTTCCCTTGGCCTGAGTCCTTAGTACCCCGCGCGGGCGCGGGTGGCTTTTATGAGCCCCCACATTTTTTCCGGTTACCTTTAGGCCTCCCCAGACCTCCGACACCTCTCTCCTCTCACGTTGCCAGGACAGAGTTGGACTGAACTACATTCCCCAGGAACCTTCGCGGCCAGGTGACCCTCTCAGCCGCTTTACTAAGCGCTGCCGATTATATTTCCCAATAGCTTTGCGGCATCCCGGGGTGAGTAAAGACTACACTTCCCAGGATCGCTTCCCGGTGGGACTACAACCTTTCTCTGGTGATTTGAAGTAGGGAAGGAAGTCTACGCCTCCGAGTCCCGTAGGCCTTTGCGAATTGCAAGAGAAACTACGCCTTCCAGAGGCCTCTGGGGCACCGCGACCGGAAGCGGCGGGCGAGCCGAGTGTCCTTGCGCGCGAAGTGGAGTGACCATGGTGGCAAGGGTGTGGTCGCTGGTGAGGTGCGTGGGGCCACTTGGTGGGTCCCGGGCTCCAGAGAAAGTCCCTTCGTGCGGGCACCTCACCCTCCGGTTTGATCCCGACCTGCTCTTGGATTCCGTATGTCAGGCCTTTGTAGCCCAGATAGAGAAACTGAGGCTAGATGTGGCGGCTTTACCATAAACGCCTCCCTGCTATCTCTTAGGGGGCTCCTCACTTAAGCCGAGACTTCTCCAGTCCTCAGTTGTCCACTCTGCAAAACGGGAATACCCAGGGAATCCTGCCACACACGATGATTGGGCGCAGTGTGTGACGTGAAGGAAGCGCTCGGGAACGATTAGCAACTGCTTCGCGCTCCCCTTGGGATGGAGGGCAGAAGGCCACAGGGTCTTGTTTAAACTGCCCCCGGCTCTCTGCGGGATTTTGAGGGACTCAAGAAAACTGGCCTTTTCCAGGTCTCAGTTTACCAATTACAGGGAGTGGAGAATTCTTGCTCTGTTGTTTTTAAGTGCCGTCGAGTGGGTTCCAATTCCTAGAGACACTGTATAGGGTTTCTGAGGCTTGAAATTAACGAGGGAGCAGAAAGCCTCATCACTCATGCTTTGCAAACTGTACATTCAGTGCTGTGTGCATTAGGGCGTTGTGCTTCCCCTCTGGACTGGGGTCCCCTGGAAGGCATGGACCCCCCTGTGGGTGGACAGCCAGTAGGGCCCGCTGAGCTGTGGTTCTCCGGGTCTGCAGGTTTCTCATCAAGGGCAGCGTGGCAGGGGGCGCGATCTACCTGGTGTATGACCAGGACTTGCTGGGGTCCAGCAACAAGAGCCAGGAGGCCCTTCGGAAGGCGGAAGAGGTGGTCCCGCCAGCCGTGTACCAGTTCAGCCAGTACGTGTGCAAGCAGACGGGGCTGCAGATACCGCAGGTACCTAGAGTTGGAGATGGGCCAGGGCTACGGGGAGGGAAGATCAACGCGGAATCTATTTTATGCTTCTAGAGGGGGCTTCCCTCACCAGCCCCTTCTCTATCTTTCTTCCCAGATCCCACCTCCTCCAAAATTTAACTTTTCCTTCCGGGACTCCTGGAATTCAGGTAGGCCCCTGGGCCCTCGGTTATGTGCGTGTGTGCGGGGGGGTGGGGGGGGAAGAGTGGGGGGGACGAGTGTTTGACGGAGGGCCTAATCTAGACCCCAGATGCCTGACCCTAATACCCCTTACCTGCTATGTGTGTGCCCCCCTGGCTCTCAAAGAGACTCAGGTGGTTGTGCATTGCCTGGCTAGAATTAGGGGCGCTTGTCATGTAAGTTCCCACAAAAAGCCCTGACCCTCTTCCAACATCAAGGGTGGGGTATAGATGGTTAAGCTCTTGAGTCCTAGCTGAAAAGTTGGCAATTCACATCTTCCCAGAGGAGCCACCAGACCAAAGTCCTGGGGTTCTGGTTCTGAAAAGTCACAAAAACAGTATGCAGTTTCATTGTAGAGGTTACAGTCGATGAGATGAACAGAATGTGCATGGATTGAATGGAAAACTGATCTGTAAACCTTCACCCAATTCACAATACCAAAATCAAATCCACTGACATGGACTCATGGCCCCCTACAGAGGACAGCATCTTTAAGGAAGCTGCCAGCCTCATCTTTCACCCACAATTCACATAGAAGTTAAAAAACAGCCGGCCTGTGGAGTAGTTCAACTCTGCAAACACGGGGTTGCCGCGAATCAGAACAGACTAGAGGACAACCACCAAGTGCCTCCTTTGCCTCAGTTTCTCCACTAATTGACAGA